CACTCTTCGCACGCCCTGCTCCACAGTTAGATTTAGACTGCTGATTTCCGGCAAGGGCGGCAACGACTAACGCTTTGCGGGAGGTACACCTTATGACCTTGCCTTATGATGAGTTTAGGACTTCTTAGTGCACGGTTACGCTGATGCGCCGCCTTCGTCGTCCTCCGTCTCCGAGTCGTCGCTAGGCAGGTCACCCCGCCCTCGTGTCCCAGATGTAACGTTGGACGTGTTCCGTCTATTTGCCCACCTTTGGGCCAGCTGATGCAAGTCACTTGCTGAGGGTAGTTTCCCATTATTGGAAAATCCGAGATCTTTCTCAACCAATTGTCCAGTCGTCTCTTGAATGTTGCAAGTGTCGACTCTCCTCCTCTCAGCGCTTTTGGCAAGGCATTAAAGAGCCTCGGTCCTACCACGGACAGTAATCCCTCACGAAGAGTCTGTACTCTGGCCGCGGCTCGGTTGTTAAATGGGGTAACCCTGCACAGTCTCCCCTGCACAGTCTCGTTGCAACGTGTCACTATTCTGGAGGTCTCACTCTCAAAGTTGGGGGCCAGTCCGGTTATCATCTTCCAAGTGTACAGTATGATAGACCTTTCTCTTCTCCTCTCTAGTGAGTACATTCCAAAGGTTTCAGCCTTTCCCAGTAGTTCAGGTTCAGCTCCCTCATGCCGCTGATCCTATACGTGAAGGTCCGCTGCACTGCCTCTAGTTTCCGCACCGCACCCGCCTTGAGTGGCGACCAAAGCTGACAGCAATACTCAAGATTGGGGAGCACGAGGGCTCTGAAGAGTGTAATCATTGGTGCTGCTTCTCTCGGTTGAAATGTCCTCCATATCCACCCCATCCGTTGCCGGCGGCGCGCGACTATTTCCCCGATATGGGCATCGAACGTGGCTTCAGTACTCATCAACACTCCGAGATCTCGAACTAGTTGCTTCTCCTCAATTTCTGTGCCATCTGATGCCAAGTAGCGATGTGACATCCCGATCTCTGTGCGGACTCTGTATCTCATTACTTCGAACTTGGTGCCGTTGAACTGCATATTGTTCACTAGAGCCCAATCGTAGATTGACGATAGATCATCCTGTAACCTCTCGCAGTCTAGGTCATCTGTGATCTTCGTCAGCACTCTTGTATCGTCCGCAAATGACAATATAGATACACGGGTGAGTTCCGAGTCAATATCGGCAATGTGGACGAGGAAGAGGATCGGTCCAAGCATTGAGCCCTGCGGAACTCCGCTTTTCACCCTCGCTTCTCTCGATTTTGAGTTTCCAATTGCGACAGCTTGTACTCTATCTGTAAGGAAGTTGTAGATCCACCTCAACAGGCTCCCTCCTACCCCCATAATCCTCAGCTCTCTAAAGAGCACCCCATGGTCAAATTTGTCAAAAGCTTTAGCAAAGTCTAGTATATCACGTCCACGCCAGCTCCCTTTTCCAGCTGGGCCACAAGACGGTGATAGTGTTCCAGTAACTGCGACAAACAGGAACGATTACTCTGGAAACCATGTTGTCCGTTATTATACAGGTCAGCCTCTTCCATATACCGGACAAGCCTCCTGATCACTACCTTCTCAAAAACTGATCACCTGTGAGGTCAAGGTCACCGGTCTGTAATTTTGGAGTCTGTCCCTCGCACCTCCTTTGTAGATTGGCGTCATCAGTCCTACTTTTAGGCCCTCAGGAATAATTCCCTCCATCATCGAGGCTTTCCAGAGCATTGTGAGCGGGGCCTTCAGAGTTCCAACACACTTCTTCAACAGCACTGCCCTAATTCCATCCGGTCCTGGTGCTGAGAACGTCGCTAATTATTTGATACTTGTTTCCATATCTTCTGGCCCAAACTCAATGTTATTCAACCCCATTCCTCCTGGCAGTTCCTGGAGAACTTCGACTTCATCCACCTCCCTTGAGTAGCGGGGGTTACTGAAGACTGATTCGAACTGCGATCCCAGTAACTCACACATGCCCGGTCATCTCCGACAAGGACATCGTTATCCTTCAGCGAGCCCACTGGCGTCTTGATTTTAGCTTTGGACTGGGCGTATTTGAAAAAAGTACTTCGGGTTCTCTCTGATAACCTCCACTACTCGTTCATCGGCAACTTGTTCTTCTATCCTATGTCAGTCCTGCAACCTGAGTTCAATTTCATTGTGCAAATCTATCAGTCTCTGTCTTCTCAGATCACTAGTAGATTCAGCTATTTGTTTATTCAAACGTGTGCGTTTTCTCATGAGGATTTGTCGGTCTCCCGGAATGCTGCGGGCATTGGGGCTCATTTTTTTCGGGGTATGACGCACACATACCTGTGATAGTTTCTCACAAAGTTTTGTGTAAATTTCCTCTGCATTCATATCGTGAAACTCTTCTCTTCAGTCAGTTTCGTCAAGTTCATTCCATATTGCCCCCCAATCCGTTCCTCGATGGTGAAAGTTAAGTCCTGCCAGTCCCTTTTGGGGTATAGCCCTGGGCTGGGTATCAGTTCCAATTGTTGTATCCACCCTCACCAGTCGGTGATCTGACAGTGAGGTTTCTTCAACCCGAGCGTAAACCACCATTCTTTCATTGTAAGTAAAGAAGAGATCGAGGATATTTCGTTCCCTTGTCGGCAACCGCGGTACCTGCTGACTGAGGAAGTGTTCCGCAGCAAACTTCACTAGTTTGGCTTCTTGACTTCTGTCGCGGTCATCAACCTCCACGTCGCCCAGACTTGTCCATCGGATACGTGGGAGATTGAAGTCTCCCCCATTATCAGGATGGGGGCTGGTTTACCCAGTCCAGCCACCCTGGTTTCTATTTCCTCCAGGGTTTTGTTAAAAATTTCCGATGCGCAAGCAGGCGGCCTATAGATTATGGCTACGCAGAGGTCAAATTTTTTTATGTGGAGTAGTACGTGTTCAACAAATCCATCAGAGTTTCCAGATTCCGATCTCAATTCCACCATGCTTCTTGTGAGGGACTTCTTAAGGTAAACAATTACTCCTCCCTTCTGCTTTCCTTCAATTCGGTCCGCACGATAGTGATGAAATCCTTCCATTGCAATTTCTGTGTCCAGGATATCTTTCCTTAGGTGTGACTCCTTTAGTGCAATCATAAAGATCCCACCCTGAGCGCGAGAGGCGGGCTGTGTGGTGGGCATTGCCATTTGCTGTGAGGGCACAACAATGGTTCTCGCTCTATTTCCATTTTTTCCACTTATTTTTCTTGATTTGATGTCGTGGAATCGATAGTTTTCTCTGATACAGTCCACTCTGTTCATGTTACTCCAGCAAGGTGTAGGATGATAGAAGGGCCAATCCTTACCTTTTTTGCACCCTCTGGGATGACCGCTTCCATAACCAAAGAATTTATAACACATTCTAGGGTGGGAGAATGTGCATCCTTCTCCGTTCTTCCCGTATTCACATTTCTTTTGAAGGTATTTCCAGCAAACACCTTTTTTAACTTGCCGTCTGCCTGAGGATACATAGGCTTCTTGGTAGGAGGGTAAGGTTAAAAAAGATGATGGCAAACTGATCTCCAAATCCAGAAGGTTCATGATAGGGTTGGGAGCAATGTGGGATTGCTGGGTTCGAGCAGGAGGGAGAATGGGGTTAGAAGGAATTGTGGGGGGTAGGGGGGGCGGGTTCCTTTCTGTTGGAGCTTGGCCGGTATTGCATATGCTCTTATCGAGTAGATTATGATTTGAGTATTGGTGCACAAGCGGCGCATGCATGCTTGAGCTCACGTAATGTAAGTTCACCTTTGATTCTTACACTCATCGGATTGATTCGATTTTCAGTTAACAACTCCCGCAACATTAATTCTGGCGTTTCTTCTTCCGGTGTATTAAGCGACCTCTGGGAATCTATACAAAAATTTACTGTAATTAATAGGTTGAGTAAAAAAGAATGGTTTGCTGTATTATTCTGCGTTATTCATCATATTCATGGAGTAGAATGAGTTATAGATTTCTTAATAAATTCGAGTATCTGCTACAATTAATTATTCACATTCGATGATGTCACTAAGAAGTGAGTATAATATGAAGAAGTGTCATGTTATAAATAGGTGTCTTGAACAGTAGGTGCATGGGTTTGTTCATCACAGGCTAAATTCACCATGCTACACCAAGCTACATGTTAGAGTCGACTCTCCTTTCGTTCCTTCGTACCACATCGCGAACGTACGCGTGATCAACACGCACTCGATGCAAGCGTGTTGTAGGTAAAGCAACGTAAGCATGTTGACATACACGCAACGCAAGAGTGTTGAAACACTCGCATGTTGACAAGTTCGTACCCTTGCACAATGCACATGCAGCGCCACAACTAAAAGGCAGGGGCTTGTCACGCTCGCGCTAAAAACTCATGCCAGCTATTGAGCAGTGTAAGCCAATGATGGCCTGACCAGCCGCTGATTTCGTGTGTCATTTGTCCATTATATTTTTTCCCATGAAACTACCCAAAATAGCTCCTATTTGGCGGCTAAATAGAAGAGGCGGCCATTTCGAATCTGATTCATCTCTAATCCGCGAGTTGCAACTGAAACCGGAAACGACAGCCGCGTCTAAATTTTGACGGATACACAGCGCTATAACTCGGCTTAATTTTTAGATAGGATTTATAAAGAATTTATCCCCAGTCGCCAGATCAGCATCTCTAAACCGTAACTAAACCTTCCACCTCTGTCTGAAATATCCTAATTTCATTTACATCCTAAACTACCGAGTTACAACTGACAATTGGGCGTAGTCGACCATAACCATATGATCCTACTTGAGAGACAGAGAAAGACACTAAATCCTAGTGAAATAGTGACTTATTTATTTTATATTAAATATTGTTATATTCGAATTCTATTTATTACGATGACTGGTATTAGAGATTATTTAATTTTTTGCTGTAGAGATTATTTTCACTTCTTTCCAATTGTACTGAATTTTAATATGGATGAGCAGAGTACGTAGTCGAGTCGAAACATTGGTGACGATTTTTCTAGAGGAAAAGAAAACAAAAATCTGCGAATGAAGAGAGCATGACTCAAAAGATTGCGAACAAATAGGCATCCTATCATTGAAACATATCGATACAAAAGAATGCAAGAGTTTATGCAATCATTTGAAAAATATTTACCTGTGATGGGTTTTTATGTAGAGAAAATTGTAGCATTTCAAATTTTCAAGTATGCATTATACTTTATCATCAAAGAACGAAGAACAATTCTCGGAATAAGAGGATACAATATTCTACGTGATACAATATGGATTGAGATTAGCGGAAATGTTCATAATTTAGGCTGATCGACGAAAGAAATATTTATCATAATTTCCGGCTACAATTTCACTGTAGACTTATTGTTCTTCCAAATTTCCATGGAGACTAGCCATGGAGTATAAAATTACATAGCACAGTATATTATGTCGATTGATTGGAGTGTTTTTACTTGGGCAAGCTATAACTGTTCCGCTGTACAACTAACATAAGCGTTTGATACATGTAGCCTACTTCTTGTATATAAAGTCGAATCCTAAATGCATCAGTCGGTCCCATTTGCCACGTTCTTTAGGTTCTGTACGTGTTCCACGCGATGGAGTCAGTTTCCAGGCGTCAAGGGCTTAAGATCTCCCATGTGCTCCGTGTGTTGGAGATCCTTTACGTGCTCCACGTGTTGGAGATCCCCCACGTGCTCCATGTGTTGGAGATCCCCCACGTGCTCCACGTGTTGGAGATCCCCCACGTGCTCCATGGGTTGGAGATCCTCAGCGTGCTGCACGTTGCGAGGTTTACCTCTGTAGACGTTGCCGGATTTGCATCCCCTGGCCACCGACCTGATCGAATTGTCCGGGATGCCCAGATCTGCCACCTTGTTGAGGTTTGCATACGTAAAACATTTTGCGTTACAATGAATTTGAGGTTATTTGTAGCTACGCAATTTATGGAAACTCTACGGAATTTATTATCAACATCAGCGATCGCTAACAACATCATATTGTGGGTGCAAGAGGTTTTGCTGCTTGAAAAACTAACAATAATATTGCATTATTGATGTTCTTACATTGTCCATGTTCCCAGATCGCTTATCTTGCTACGGAAACCAGGTTACAATCGTAACGAAATAAGAAAAAAACCTATGCTACAGGAGGCAGAGATTAGCTCCAACATCTGTTGTTACAATGTACATGATCTCTTATTAGTTAGCTATGACCAGAAGTTGACCACTCTAAACTTCTAAATCCACGTGAACCTACGACAAACCAAACAAAACGGCCACGTGGACCATCGTATAACGTACCAAATTCACGTACGCATGATGGTAGGAGACACCGTTGTTATCGGTTAAGAAAGTGGGGCGCACGCAAATGGCCACGCCGTCGAACTGAGTTCCTCTGCGAATATAAATAAAGTTACTCTTTGTGAGCGACATATACGTGCACATTTACGTGTTTTAATACCTAACGTTTCTTCGTTCACTCTAAAATGTTATACGTACGTGAAGAAAGTCCACGGTGATTGTCCAGATATAACCAAGGATGATATCGCTAGGTCAAATGAGCCCAAGTTCCCGAGGTCAGCGTTGCCCGTCATTTCAGCCCCCGTGTAATAGGCCCCCGTGTAAAGGTTGAAATAGATGTCGTCCAAACCGATTGGGCTGCCAGCGTACCGCAGAGATGAAACCTATAAAATTATTGATAGGTCTATTATATATTTGTTACCGTTGTGAGAATATGTGTTGGCGCCGTAAATCTACAGGTGCGCGTATCGCAGATACCTATCGTGTACATGAGAGACATTAAAACAGGGAGGAGAGTTGGTTCAAAGGATGTTAGTATGATTTTTATTGATATAGATATATAAGTGAATAGCGAATTAAAGCCTTCCTTTTATTATGACACTTCAGTTATAAAACTACTTATGGGATTATAGAAGACGGAATTCAGTAACGAGATCATGTTATTCTGCATGACTGGATTCGAGTGATGGGATTCGACATGACGAGATTCAAGATAGAGGGATTTGGGACAAGATTAAAACGGAATTCCAAAATCTCAGGAATTGTCTATCCTCGGCAACGCCAGGAATACCTACTGGTTAGTAATGCTGAACCTTTTAGTACGTTGTAAAGAATTTTGTTGAAATTTTCAATTATTCGAGATAAGAAAGATAAAATTTTTTCTTTAGTTTGCTTACTGATGCCACGGAGGGCAAATTGTGACAGCTGTCGATCGCGCCGGGATAGAAATAACTCGAACCGAAGTAAGAAGAGCCCTCGTAGAGCAGCCAACTGTGGACACAGAACAGATGTTATTTCAGCTCATTTAATTTGAAACTGACTGCGTCAAAAATTACTCATCGGAAACTTAATACAAAATTCTTATTTGTACTTATAATCCCCAATCATAAAATATTTTCTCAGTGTTTATTGTTGTTCATAAGTGTACAACTGCCTCGTTCATTATTAGTAATATTTTGGCATTTAAATGAGAGCATCATTTGTATACTTATTTGGCATTACTTTGCTACATAACGTGTGTATGAATATCAATATAATATCTGAATATAACGTATAATACTATTTTATTTGAAAATCAATGATTATATAATGCGGACGACCGTGGTTCGTTAATACGAGTGCTGCTTGTAGCTCCCAACCGTCCCCAAAGCCGTAATGAACACGAGAACAGATATTAATGAACATGTGAGAAATTACTTGTGACTGCTCAGAATAATTGCTGATTTGGGAATTTCGAATATTGTCTTCGTCTTGTCAACTGCACGCCTGTAGTCCATACCCTATAGCATTTTGGAAAGAGGGAAATTCGTCCAGCTTGACATGAACTTGAACATATAAAACTAATTTTTAGAAGAATATCACTTAAAAAAATTAATTCGGCGTACTGAAAGGTTTGCTTACTCTCCCGTCATGCAGACGCGCTTGATGATGTTGTCCACGCCCTCGACGATGAGGTCAGAGGAGTAGCTGTCGAACTCGAGGTAGGGGCCGTCGGGGTCTGTGTCGAAGTATGCCTTGAGGTACCGCTTGTCGGCGTATTCTGAAGTTGAAGAATAGACGGCATAAGTTGTAGCTCGGATACCATTAGTTACTAGGAGCCGTATTTCCAAAACTCGCTTAGGTACAATCAGCGGCATTGTAGCGGGCCAGCGGTTGGCCGCGCTAATTGTAATGCTGTGCGTTTATTTAAGGCGCCTCACTTATTCCAACAAGACTGAAAAAAGTAAGGAAAAACCTTTTTCTTTGGAAGTAATACTTATTTAGTAAGGTTACGCTGATTTCTCGAGTACTAAATTATACTGAGAGTTACTTAAAATATTCTAAGTCGTTTTCTTCCATCCACGTATGTTAGGGTTCGATGGCAACCCCCCCCCCCCAAGTATTGTAAATGTACATAGCTTTCTCGTCCCGCTGTGGCATAAGTCCACGTAACGTCAATTTCCCGTATATGATTGGTAGGTTTAGCATGAAAAGCAATCACTGATTGGCTGGCGGAGTTGCGAACTCGTAACTATTTTTGAAAGTAAGGCCCTGTAGGGCATCTTTTAGGGGGATTATGCATTTCTACCAATAAGACACTTGACAATTAAGTATTACAGAATATAAAATAATAGGATAATAGGTATATAGATAACTTAAAACAAAATCAACGTTGCCTCATCAAACTCACCAGTATCCTGGGCGCTGATGCAGGATATCACCGCCACAAGGGTTGCAAGCATGTGTGAAAAAGAACTCATCTTTTCGACTGGTGACTTGCAGTGTGACAAGTTAACAGGGTAACTGCTTTAAGTATCTTCAGCGGCGCAGGTGGAGATCACATTTCTGATTAATACAATAGTTCTCGGTATAGAACATCAGTCCTTGAGTGATCACCATGCATTTTTCCATCAGGTTCAGTGAGAAGAAAAGATCTAAGGTTCCGAGGAGTTCATATAGAAAGATTGTAAAATCGCATAGAGATAAAAGTGGGAAATGCCACAAATGACAGAATGACAGATAGCCTACACAGGCAATACAGTATTAAATTCAGTGAGTAAAAGTAACCCCCCCCCCGCTTAAAGAATGTTTATCGGAAACAGTTATAAATGAACCCATTGCAATCACAAGAAGTGCCTTCAAGTTAATTGAAGAAGTGAATTTGACGTCGTATTTGTTTTCTGAGTATCTGGCTTCGTATCAGTTGCAGTGAAATGTTGGTCTTGACTGATTGCCTTATCGACACAATGCCAAAACTTTTCGGTGAGAAGAAAATAACAAGAGTGCAAGCTCATACATCGAAAAGAATATTAAAGAGTTTTTACATTTTTCTGCGAACTGCTGCTCATGTTTTTTCCAGTTCAAACATGTGCAGCAAATATACCGCGAAAATCCAAACTTCCTCTCCACAGGACAGAACCGGAAATAAGCAGTGAAAAAGATGCTCAAGAATAAAATAAGGGATACATCCAAAACAGGCGGTATTTTAAAAGCTTTGCCTGCAGTTTATCCTCAACTTTTCATTTTGCCGCTAATTTAATAAGGAAAAGTAATTTGTTAGATAGAAGAATTTAGTCACCAATACTGGGAATATGGTGAAGTGGCATTTAAAAGCTTGGTTACTGCAAGCGTGCAATAAAGTTACATCCGTTAATACAGGGGGGGGGGGCGGCAGAACCGATTGAGCAGTTTTGAGGCGAAATAAAAGAGTAATGGAGGTACAAAAAGAAGAGAGTTTATTTTCATCGAGGTTAGTATAACATACCATTTGGAATACTTATGTTTTGAAAACAATATCAGGAAGATGGTGGCCGCAAGCTGCAACACACAGTTGGAGTGGTTCTCAGAAGTTTCCTACAGCACGTTCACACATATGGCGAGGTATGGCCATAACCTCTGCTGCAATAATCTGTCCCTTAGCTGTGGTAGGGTGTGAGGGCAACTTCTGAACTTCTCTTTTAGATGTCCCCAAAGAAAGAAATCGCAAATGCTCAAATCAGGTGACCTCGCAGGCCACTGTAAATCACCCCTCAGAGACACCAGACGTCCGGGAAACATGCGTCTAAAAAAAATGAGTGACTTTCGGGCTGTGTGAGCTGTAGCCACATCCTGCTGGAACCACACGTCTCCCAATGTTTCATTTTCAACAATGTTTTCCATCCTGGGCTGCAAAATATTTTGCAACATTGCAGCTTAGCGTCCGGAATTCACTGTCACGGTCACTCCCTCCTCCTCAAAGAAGTATGGGCCTATCACACTAATTTGTGAGATGGCACACCAGACCGTTAGTTTGGGAAATTTTAGAGGCCTTTGATGGATAATTTGTGGGTTATCTTCAGCCCAGTAACGAAAATTTTGCTCATTTACAGTCCCACGGAGGTGAAAATGCGACTCATCACTGCTGAAGAACGCTGCGTCGAGAGCAATCTGTTCAAGCATGTTTTCACACAAATTTCAGTGGCTGGCTGGCAACAAAGTCTGCTTCGTTCAATTGTTGGGTCATCATTGGCTACTGAAATGGGAATACCTAAAGGGCTGGAAAAAAACCACCCGCACGCCGATCCCCTTCCTTCCCTGCGAGCACTGACTGCTCTAAACTGCTCAATCGGTTCTGCCCCACCTTGTACTATATGTATCCGTGTTGATGGTCGCCACCGTGTTGATGGTCGCCACCGTGTTGATGGTCGCCACCGTGTTGATGGTCGCCACCGTGTTGATGGTCGCGACCGTGTTGATGGTCGCCACCGTTTTTTGGCCGCTACCGTGTTGATGGTCGCTACCATGTTGATGGTGGCTACCGTGTTGATGGTTGCAACCGTGTTGATGATCGCTACCGTGTTGATGGTTGCAACCGTGTTGATGGTCGCCACCGTGTTGATGGTCGCGACCGTGTTGATGGTCGCTACCGTGTTGATGGTCGCCACCGTGTTGATGGTCGCCACCGTGTTGATGGTCGCCACCGTGTTATGGCCGCTACCGTGTTGATGGTCGCTACCATGTTGATGGT